TGTGTTTTCTATGTAGCATATTCAAGACTATTCATATATAAAAATTTAATTTCTCATCATCACTTTCGTCTTATGTCTCAATTACTGTAACACAGCTTTTAAACTCATGACAAATGTAATTTTCTCAATGACTACAAACTGCTTCAAACATTTTTTTTCAGTCCACTACTTTGACTATGTTACTGCCCTTTTTTCTCCACTATGCTGGTTCCTCTCTTCCCCATCACATAGAATAAAAAGACTTGACTTGATTTTTAAAAAGTCCTTACAGGTTTTTACTGACACATGACCTTCTAATGACTACTCACATTGAATCTCATCTCTGTTCAGTTCATGATACCTATCTCAGCCAAGTATTTTATTTTCTAACAGCCCTTCCATACTGCCTTCACATTCAAAGGGTGCCTGCCAAGGTTCATTATTCTATTTTCAAGAGGCATCTTAAAACTCGTCCCATTTGAGATGCCAACACCTCAATAATAGTTAAAGATGGTTAGTGTACAGAGACAACCGGTTTTATATATCCCCATAGACTTGTCCCTTACCTCCTGTTCAAGCTTCTTTGTAAATTGTCCAAGGGTGGGACAATCCTTTTTGTTCTTTGTGTGTGTTGACACAGTGAATAGCACAATGTATCCTCCTGGATCTTCATTACAGACAGTGTAACAGCAGCAACATTAGTGGATTGTTATTAGTACGTAGCATAGTTTAAAAAGCACAATTGGAGATTTGAGTCTTCTCCCTTTCCCCTTCTTAGTTATGCCTACAAAAAGTAAATGCTTTCATCCAGTTGAGCATAGTCATTAGTAATAACTTTTACTAAATATTTACTACACATTTTTTCTGGACACTGGCCTCCATACTGAAGTATCTGAAGAACTTGACTTTTGCACTTTTTAATATAAAATGCATATATATACATGCAGCCTGCTACACAGTCTTGCTCATGCTTATCTAGCTGACACCAGTGAGATTACTCAAATGAGTGAGGACTACTCACATTAACAACACTGGAAAAATTGAACCTGTAATTCACAAAAACTGTTTAACATAGGAATTTTTATGATGAATATCTTAAATGTTAATAACCATAGTCTGGACCACAGAAAACCACTGAACTCATGAGCCTCATTCCACCTCCAATAACTACACAATTGATTAAATAATACTAAGTACAACCTTAATTTTTTTGTTTATATTAAGAAATCAGACCTAAAACCTAAGAATTTACTTTTTAAAATAACTGTTTATTTTGTGATTTTCCTCATGTCAGAAAAGGTGTTGAATTGCTATGCAATTAGCTTTTAAATTAGCACACCAATCTACTGTATTACTTTTGGAATAGGTCCAGTTCACCTAAAGTACCAGAATATAACATTTTAATGAACACAAACACAGGGTATATTAAACATCTAACATAATAGTATTTTATGACAGACTAGAGTAACAGTCTAGAAAAGGCTATTCTCTAAATATATTTATCACTCATTTTTATAGAAATGATGGGGTTTAGCACCAAATTATATTTTGGTGCTCAACCTTTGCATGACTATATTCCACTTTTAAACATTATTTCTGAGTCTTACACGAGAATTGACATTCTTCAATATACGTTCATGTTTAACTGCAAGCCGAGTGAACTAATTTTCTAACAGCTTAATAATTAAATAGCACCAATAAAAAATAAAGCACTTCATTTATGTTTCCTTTAGGAAGGAAATCTGTACAAACGATAAAGCTTAACAAAACAATATAAAAATATTTGTTTGTGCTTTCTTTCTCTTTGTTAAACTAAAATTTAGTCCTAAATCAGTTTAATCTCCAAGTCAGACATTTAAAGTTCCTCAGTCTTTTTTAAGTTGTTTCAAAAACCTTCCAAAACTCCCTGCCCAAACCAATATTTGTTCCATCTCCCCTCATTATAGTTTTTCTTTTTCTAGTTATTAACATAGCCTTGCCTATTATTGGATCAAATTCCACCCTGCCCTGAGAAGCAAGTCCAATGACATGAACATGTGCTTTCAGTAATGGACTAGTGCAAGGTTAAATGTCTTTCTGATATGATCCTAAGAAGGATACCGAAAAAAATCCACATTTGCATTTCTCTGTGAAACACCATACCAAACATCATCAATTTGTTTGTGTGCTCATCTTCCACTGTTACCCATTGGTTAATTAGTTATTTTTATGTTTTAAGATCTTCTTATACTAAAAGTCTATGTGTTACCAGAATTGGGTTCTTAAAAGTGAATTAAGTAGTAGTTGCTGAAATATACAAAGTGACACTGGAAAAATTTCTATTGGAATTGTCACTTACCATAGCAATTTTTGTTCTGTGAAGGTACTGCCTCCAAAGAGGCCCCCCTTTGGGATTACTTTCCTTGCCATGAAGCAACAGAAAACATAGAAAATATTAGATATTAAATGGAATATTCACATCTATTCCAATGTTCTGGAAGAAAATACAGAAAAAATCTCCTATCACTTAACTCCCTAAGCACTGTTACACTCCATAAATAACTGAGGTAAAAGTAAACCTGAGGAGCTGGTGTAAATCTGCACAGGCAATTCACTTGAGAAGAAGTTATTTTGGTAATTAGCATCCTTTTTCTCTCTTATGACATTGCCTACACAGATCTAATAAATAAAAGACTAGTAGAGACAATTCTGAGAACCTGGACTGAGGCAGACTACTAGTTGCAGGGAGAGCGAACTACTCCCGTCCAAATATTGTATCTAATGTAATGCAAGAAGTCTTGCTTGCTTGGGAACATTTAAGTACATTTCCTACCTCAGTTAGATGTTGTAAACTATTTCTATATTGAAATGGTCTAACTCTTAGCTTTTTACCAAACCTGACCAAAAAGTTACCTTAAAAAATGCTTTTGTGTAGTCAAGCAAATGATTCAGAACCTGTCCAAAAGCTTAAACCAAGACAACTGTTAAAAACAGTCAATGCTATTATAGTCAACAATATGGGAGAGGAGTGAGGGCATTTTAAGACTGATCACCCGTATAAAAATACACAGATAACTGCAGTTTTGAGAGTTTCTTTTAGATTCTGTAACTACAAGAGGAATATTCCATATAGGAAAATGAGAAAGGTACCACCGAGTCCCTCCAAAGAGATGCGTGACGTTTTGGGTGTCAGGAGTTTAAACCTAGGAGTATATGTATAACTTATTTGAGTATGCAACTCCATGACATTTTTTTTCTACGATATTTTGTCAAGAGTAAAAAAGGACAGACTTAAATAATTGGCCTAAAAAATTAAAGATAGGGTTAAGAATAAATCAAGTATTTTTTAAGCTGTTGAAGGAGAAACATTAATCTAGTTCTGTCCCTCCACCAAAAATACGCCATAATTCATGAAGAGAATGGCATTTAACTTTTCACTCTTCGGTTTCTTTCTACTTCACTTGTAGCTTAGCCAAACACTGTTGTCCACTGTGTCACCAACTGACACTTTCTTTCTTCTTTGCTTCTCTTTCCACAGAAATTGAATGGTTGTTCTTCAAATTGGGGCTTGATTCTGTTGTCCACAGACAGGTGTCTAATGACATTTCAGATGTCCTTTATATCCCACTTGGCCTCCAACTGCAGTTCCAAAGTCTATTGTAAGTTGTGTCATATCTGCTACCCTGTCTAGATGTTTTGGCTACCTTGGGACACCTCAAATAGTACTAGATGCCTTTTTGCAGGAAACTGTGTCATGCCCATGCTGTCAAACAACTATTTTCAGAGACTCATTGCAAACTGTTGATATATATACACAACCTTTGCTACGAAAAGGACAAGATTGCTGTGGATATAAAGGAAATACAGATTTTTGAATGGTTAAAAAAAGCCAAATGCATCAAATAGAATCCCATGCCAAACCACCAGGTAAAGTCCATGTAGAAACAGAGTCTACCACCTTTGTTTTCTGGACCGTTTTACAAATCCGTGACTTTTTCACATCATAAAGGATCTATCCAGGAAAGCTTATCAAAAAGTTTCCTTTGTGGATTCATAAAGGAAAAACTTGAAGTCACAATTGGCTCTGCAAGTACTTGCACCTAATCTGAACACCTCTAAGCAAATACTCCAGAAATCATACATCCACAGAATGCTTATCATGCTCACACAACTGCCATTACCATCCAAGCATGTCTTTTCTATGAAACTCCAATCAAACTCAGGCACAGAAAAATGACCTGAGTGCTCTAGCCTTTGAGAGCTCCATCATCTCTGAGCTCATAGGATCAAAACTAAAAAAAAAGATATAATTATCTTACTAAATGCATTCCTCAGATGCATGAAATACAATTTCTAGGATGGAGTTTTAAGCCTCTAAAGAATTGTGGTGTGCAAAGTGGTATTAAGGCTTCCCTAGCAGATCTGCTAAAGCTTTGAGTTCCCCCTGCCTACTCCCTGAACATGCTACCACTATAATATTCTAACTTCCAGCTGCATGTTGTGATGCTGTTAACAGGGAGCTGTGAAAAATGTTACTGCACTTATCAGCTTCTGAAACAATTATTGGTGGACAAAACATAAAGAGCATTCTGCTACTCTGGATTGTGCCAAGACAGAAAAGTCACCTCCTTTTACTTTTTTACAGTAGGTGAATACACAGGCAACTGAAGTTTTCTCTGCCTCTCTTCTCTGGACCCCAAGCTTGAAGAATGAGTGAAATCAACCTTTGACTGATCCTTTAACAAATTATAAAGAGATGTTTAAAGTTTAGAAATTGAACCAGGGAGATCCATGTTCTGTCATGTCTCAGTGTGACTTAGCTAATTACAGAATTTAACCATTTCTGAAGACCATTTCTATGGCAAGCCAAAACTAGAAGAACATAACAGAATCAAATGACTGCATGTTTTAATGTGTAACTGGTCTTAAAAACTAACTTCAGGTGGGTGCAAGTGCTAACTGGTAAAGCATATAGGCTGGTACCATTTTGTTTTTAAAAGTGACTGGAAGAACATATCTTTTTAAACAAACAAACAAATTACCTGGCAAGGCTTCTTCATTTTAATTGCTATAACATGGTATCTGTAGCAGCAGAGTTCACAGGTCCATGACCCTCTTTCACTTATCCACTTTAACAGACAAAGCTGATGTGTGTATCGTACTGACCCATCACAGCGGCAAGGATTTAACAATTCACCCTGGAAAGGCAACACAGAAACGTTAATTTTAAAGGAATCTTTTATGTACATGTATACTCAATACCAAAATATTTACAGGTCTGTAACAACGAACTGGTCTCAATTTCAGTACATGAAAAAGCATGTATTTTTAGCCATAAAAACACTTAAAAATTAAACTGTCTTAAAAACATCTAAGTGCTTCCAATGAGATAAAGGCAGGTAACTGTCTACACATATGTGTGTACATATGTGAAACAAGTAAAAGATTATCATGCATCAAACAACAGCAGCATTAACACTTTCAAATACCTCAAATTGTAGTGAAAGTGGTTAGATGCATTTCTCCAACAGTTACTTGCAGTCATTACTAGGAAACAAATGGGTGACGTCACAGAGAACCATGCTCTTGGAGCAGGGTTCTCTGCTGTTCAGCCAGGCAGCTGCCAGGCAGGACCTCAAATAATGTAACTAAAATCTTCCCACGGTAGTTCACATATTTCTGTATTATATAAATCAGCTATTCTTTTCTTCCCTTGAAAAGATTTTTTTTAGCTGAACTACAAGACAACCTATAAAATGCTAGTTTGGGATCCATGGCTGATACTGTCCCCAGTAATGTAATGACAGCGAAGATCCCTGGAGGTCTTCTCAACGCTACCTGTAAGCTAACACTCTCATTTTAAAGTCTAATAGAAACCCGAGAAATTCTTACTGTTTAAAGTCCCTGAGGGGAGACTCAGCAGGCGTGGCGGCAAGAAGATACAGTGTGCAAGCCAGGCACAGCAAATCTCTGATTTTTCCTAAAATCAGTCTGCGCCGACTCAGAATTGGCCCAAGCTTTTGTCACAACCATCTCGTACAGCAGCTGAGGCTCGCTACACTCATTTCGCCGCCGACACA